AGTCTCCAGACAACCCTTCATAGTGCAAATATCAGCTGAGTGAATAGTTTTTTGGCAGTTTTTAGGTATCCATTGAAGGGCAGCCATTTTTTTGAGTGGAATACAGAAGTAAGATCCAATAATATACACTTAAGTAAACCACCATATGTACTCCTTAGCAAAATTCAGAGAAATGAAATGAAATGTCAAACCCTGCTGAAGCCTAAACTGCTTAATGTGAATAACATTTTGGCCACTATGACTGCATAGCAAATAATTTCAAACTGCACTGTCCTTCATATATGGGAACAAGTGCACAGACAGATCGCTACCTTTTGGGAATTTCAGATGCATACACAAGTAACTAAAACTGTCAAATGCTCAAGCTACTTAACCATTCAATTGCCACGGACAAGCAAAGGCTAAAAAAATAGAGAGCTGTCTCATGTTTATAAATTAATATTACAATGGAAACATATATTTGTGAAAACTGGTTCAACATTATTCTCTCCTTAAATGAAGATGCAAATCTTCCTGTTCTCTTTGGAGCACTTTTCAGCCCTGGGAAAAGAGAGAGAGTGTAATCCTTGTGTTCTCTTGAGCAGAGGGACTGAGCGACTCTGCCTAGCATCTATGTGGGCCATACAAATGGTGCTGAGGAAGGCTCCCTGCATCCTTCCACCTGCCCATATGCTGTGCACCTGCATTCGGACCAGGAAGAATCCAGCCCTTGAATAGCCTCATTGTTTACATTGTTCACAATCATTCATAATAGCTCAGTGTTCTTCAGCTATAATTAGAAACATGTACACACAGTTTTCTTCACACACATGGTAATTATTCCACAAATAAAACAGGCTTGTCTGTCCCTTGAAAGATATATGACAAGATTGTAGATGAAATTGTCTGTTTCACCTTTCTATGAGCCAAAAAGAATAAAAGGACAGAAACGGTACAGAAAGCAGAAATGGCATCAGTGATAAGGAGACAAGAGAACACTTTTTCTAAACCGTAAATGAATAGCTTGAGATTTTAGCTGCAGAAAGGAAGGTCCAATAAAAGGTAAACAAGGGAAAACACTTATAATCTGAGATAAATAAAAGAAAAGAAGACCAGAGGATTTCCACAGCTTCCTTAATAGACTTTCATCAAAAATAACATTTAACTTCAGTACTGTTGATCAAACAGAAGAGCTTGTTGTTTGCTGTGAGGAAATTACTCTGGGTGAATTTGAAGCAGCTATTGAAAGAACTAAAGAACAATACATTGCCAGGTGATGATCAAATTGAAGAACTGCTTAAAGTGAGTGGAAGGGGCAGTATGAAAATCCTTCTATGCCTTTTCAGTTTGGTCTGGGAGAAAGAATAGAACCCAGAAGAATGAAAAAGAGGGATTACAATCAAACTCCCTCCCTCCAAAAAAGGATATTTGAGTTTTGTAACAACTGGCATGGGATTATGCTACTTTCAGTCCCAGTGAAAATCTTCTATGCAAACACACTAAACAAATTTAGATACAAACAAGCTGTTTTTGCCAAATTGATCCTGTGCAGATCAGCCCTTCATCCTGAATAATATTGTCGAGCCCCCAGTAGTCTTGAATTTTTGTGAATTTCCAAAAAGCATTTTATTGTGTAGATGATCATTGTGGGAGATACCATTAATTTATGGTGTCTAAAAAACAAACTCATTCAAATTATTAAAAATTTGTATCAGAACGTTCAATGTGCACTAGAGATAAACCAAATGTTAAATGACTTGTTTAATGTTAACAATAGTGTCAAACAAAATTGAGTCTTTCCTCCCATCTTCTTTGGCATAGCTATTGACCTTGTGACAGATTATCTGTATGGAAATGGACCCTTCAAGAATAGACGGGGAGCTTGGAGTCATAGACTTTGCAGATATTATCTGTCTTATGAATGAATCAGGGTTATGCAGCAAAAGACAGATGGGCTTGCAAATTCTGACAAGCCATTACATATTAATAGTAGTATATCAAAGATGGATGTTATGAAAAATAAATTTACCTACCAATGATTTTATCTACTTAGAAGGTGAGCCTTTGAAAATGTAGGTAGGTGGGTCACATCATTCACAATTCCGGTGATTCCATATCCAATATAAAATCCAGAACAGTTAAAGCAACAACTACTGCATTTCAAAAACAAATAACCAAATATAAGAACTTTTACTGTCATAAATGTCCTCTTTTATGGAGCAGAATCCTAGAAAATAGTACGCACATCCAAAGCAAATTGATCAGCTTTCATTGCAGGTGTCTGAAAAGGATGTTCAAGGTAAAATGGCCTGATAGAATCAGTAATGTAAAGGTCCTAGAATGAGCATAGATTAGAAAATGAAATATCATAATCAGAAGAATCTTTGAATATCCAAGGCAATATACAGGCAGTCCCCGGGTTACGTACAAGATAGGGACTGTAGGTTTGTTCTTAAGTTGAATTTGTATGTAAGTCGGAACTGGTACATATTGTAGGGGAAACTCTAGCCAAACATTTCTCCAGAGCTCAGTTTTATTCTCCCACACCTCACTTCCCTCAGTCCTTTATTCTCAAGCTGAGGTGTCTGCTGAGAAAAGCCGCTCCGTGTCTCCCTGGTCTGCTGGGAGGGGGGGGGATGCTAGCTTCGCGTCTCCCTGGTCTGCTGGGGAGAAGCAGCTAGTGCGGGGTTGCCTCACCCCTTTCGTAAGTAGGGATCCGATGTAAGTCGGATCCATGTAACCCGGGGACTGCCTGTACATAGAATTTGATCAAGATGACAAAAATACAAAAATAAGCTAACGAACAGTACAACTGGCTGAGATCTCAATTTGACAGATGTAATAATCCAGCAGTGAACCATTCATTTTTCCCCAAAATCATATACCAACATAAAAAGCATTTGAAAACCTAGTTCCCTGCTTTTCCTGTGTTAATCTCTCACACAAAAAAATCTTAGGAAAAATAAACATGCATCAAGGAAAAGGAACATATTGTATATAATAACAATACAAATTATTTTCTTCTTTCATTCTTGTTAGACCCTTCAAATGTATCAAGCACAACATAGGAAGAGTGTGATGAGGCTGTACACATGCTAAGGGAACACAAACCATCCTTTATTTACAGTATGGGCCAGACTTTCCATAGAGCTAATTATCCACAATCAGAGTCTGACTTTTATTAAAAAAACCTCAGCTCTCACAATTCAGGCACCTAAATAACTGTCCAGAATTTCCAAAGTCCTTGACGTTCTGGGTGATGGGGATGTTTAAAAATCTGGCCGTTATTTAGATTTAATGCTGTGAACCCTCAACTTTTGGGAATTCAGATAGAGTTATTCATAGGCAGGTCCAATTTAAGCTCTGGGTTTTGCAAGACCAAAGCTTACAGCAAAACCAACTCTAAATTTGCCTGTTTCTAACACCTAGAAACTCAGAAATGAGACCAAATAAACCTAGGATTGCTAAAAAGAAGGCTGAGGATTGGGAGGGAGGATGAACTGATGGTATCGTTGCACATATATACTCAATTACTTCCAAGGAGTGACATATTCTTGTTTTCTGGTACTTAGAAGCACTCAAACACTTTTCTGCTGGAGCTCAGCCAGGGGACTATGAATCAGAGTTCCAAAAGAAGTATGAAGAATTTTCACACAACTCCTCCTTGTAAGGCTTTCAAGAGCAGCTCATCTATGACATATGTTAAGATGATCTCTGTTTCACACTGTGGCATGCAATAAAATGGCAGAAAACCTTGCATGAGGCACAGTTTCATATATAAACACTCAGCTGCTGGCCCCTGCTCTGGCTCCTTTGAACCACTCCAGTGACACAAGAAGCCAAAGAAGTTCCCATACGTTTTCTTGGTCTGAGGAATCCTTGGCTGACACTAGTTCTTTGCCACATCTAAGGGCCCCTATCATAAGCGGGGAGTGGCCAAAGTATACTGGACTTGGTGATCCCTACAAGCCGGATGGCTCTTTGGGAGCTATTACAAACCTAGGTACTTTTCTGCTGATCTAAACCAAGGTGGCAACAAGAAAAGGAGAGTGAAAGACTTCCTGGGCACAGTTGAGCAGTCAGACCAAATTTTTTTTTGGTTCAGAGCAAAAGTTTAGATGCATTGTTTGATTAATGATGACTTTATAACAAACCAAGTAAGGTTCAGGGCATTTTTAAAAAGTGACACCTGAGTAGCAACCTCACACAGCATAACCCACTAATAATGTCCTCATATATAAGAAAACCCCTCTGGGAATGAAGTATAGAGGAAGTCCTGAATAGAGCAGATCAGAAAATTATGAAAAGCCATTTTTAAAATGACCTAGCATGGTTTTATTTGTAACTCTGTCTCTTTTGTATAAACATATGTTCTCCAGAGACTTTGTGGTTTTGGTAAGGGGAACCTTACCATGAGTCAGATATTGAGAAGGGGAAGGTTCTTTTTGTTAAACTACTAGCAAAGAACACTTTATAAAACAAAAATGAAGATCCAAAAAGTGTTAAAATGTGTTGAAAGGTCCTTTGTTCTTGAATGCAGTTGATTGCAAGTGTACAGTGCATTATAATTTTGCAGTGAGAAAGGACAGGAAGCCTATTTGTGGGTGATTACAATATATCTTGGTGGTATTACAAGGTAAAAGGCCAAAGACCAAGTGACTTTAACTACACAAGAAATACAAACATTCCTTGCTGGAATGTCTTGCTGTTTTTCTGAAACTGATTTTTTATATATAAAAACGTGGGAAAGCAGTAAGCTTGTACATTTACTGGGTATTCATAAATATGGTTATGATATCACTTGTAGCCAATTAGAAAGCTCCATGATATTTCCAGAGTTCTAAAGTAATTCCAAAATAAATAATACATCATCTATATCACATATCCCCACAAAACACACACACACTCATACAAATGTATAATTCTACATAATTATGGGAATCTAGCACTAAAATGAGATCCAGCCTCTTTCTGAGAAAGCTTGAAACTTACAGAAAAATAGGTGAACAGCTGTTTCTTACCTGATAATGACACACTGGTTTTCTCTGTCAATAATCATGTTTCTGTACATGTTGTCCGCTAGAGCATAGATATGAGGTGGATTTTCATACTGAGCCTGTGGGTATGTGGGGGAAATATAATGTACATTACAGACAGAATATTAAATACCACAGGGAAAAATATTGTAAGTATTTAGTATGGAAGAGTTTCTTGCTACAAAAGAAAATTCTGCATGTTAAATTCACCCAAATCAATAGTCATTGTCACTGTTGAGATTTGGTATTTATCCCTCAATCATAATTTTTGTTCTAGCTCAGGTATGTAAAAACCCTATTTTAAAAATGTAGAAAATGTAAATATGTATTTTGTTGAAGAGAAACTCACATCATTTATGCCCTTTTCAGAAGTGGCCTTAAGCTAACAAATAAACAGGCTACACCACTGCGCAGAGCCTCGCACTGATAGGCTACATCTGCCTCTTCCACCCCATTCAAACTGAATAGTATATGTAGTTTTCTGTCTATGGACATCCCAGATTCCATTGCAGCAGGAGACTGAATTACATATGTCCTAGTGTCCTCCTTCTGTCCCATACTCACAGTCCAATTTTCAAAACTGGCCTCTAAGGGTATGTCTACACTAGCCCCATAGTTCGATCTAGGGAGGCTAATGTAGGCATTCGAAGTTGCAAATGAAGTCCGGGATTTAAATATCCCGGGCTTTATTTGCATCTTCCCGTCCAGTCACCATTTTGAAATTTCACTAGTCCGGACTAACAGTTCATGGCTACACACGGCAAGGAGCTGGTAGTTCGAATTAATGCCCTAATTCGAACTACCTGTTATTCCTCCTGCAAGGAGGTTAACGGTAGTTCGAATTAGGGGCTTTAATTCGAACTACCGGCTCCCTGCCGCATGTAGCCACGGGCAGTTAGTCCGGACTAGTGAAATTTCAAAATGGTGACTGGACGGGAAGATGCAAATAAAGCCCGGGATATTTAAATCCCGGACTTCATTTGCAACTTCGAATGCCTACATTAGCCTCCCTAGTTCGAACTAGGGGGCTAGTGTAGACATACCCTGAGTTTGGTTGCCTATGTGTTTTGGTGCATTAGAGATCTAAGGTGTAGTGTAGATAGCTGGTGACAAATTCCCCTTTTGAAGAGGAACTCTCTGCTGGGGGAAATCTGATTTTGATCAAACTTAAATCAATAAATGAATCTGTTGTGCCAGTTTAACTCTGTCTTGGTGAATCCAGCATGTAAATGGAGGAAAAAGCAGATGCAGCATCTTATTAAAATTAGATGCTGCGTGCAAACTCAGTTACTCTGAACTAGTAAGTTTCACTACCACCCAAAGCAGTCAACATCTATTCTCATTAGTCCAAACAAAATGAGGAGAACCTTTACATACAAATGAATATCTGCAATATTTTATAGGAAACTTTACTTACAGCTCCTTGGTACATTTCAATTTCCTTTTCTCCAAAGTATGGCATCTGTTTGAAAGGATTCACAGAGATTAACACAGATCCAATATATGTCTGTATTTGAGAGCAGTTAAGGTTTATGAGACACCTCAGTAGCTAATATTTACTAAAGCATTACCTCATCAATGGGGATGTATTGCATAATATTTTGATCTATAAATACCTATCAATAAAACAAAGCTTTAAGAAAACAATTGGGTTTTGCCATCAAAGCCTTTAAATAGCTACAGGTGAACCTCTCCAGTCTGGCACTCTTGGGTCCAGCAACACCTGTGGTCTGGCATGATTTTATTTAGGCAGATATCCAGATCCTAATAGCAGAAGGTAGGTTTGTGGGGAAGATGTGTCTTCCCTGGCTGCATCCCTACAAACCTGCCTGAGTGCAGGGTGGCAGTAGGGAGATCTGCAGTCCACACACAAAGGCTTTCTATGGTGAGTGATGGTGCTGGACCCTACAGAGTTGCAAACCTTTCCCCACGCTTTCCACAAATTGGGGCTGAGCACATCCTAGTGCTTCCTTCCTTGTGCACGGTCCCAGAGCAGGTGCAGCCTAGTGCAGGCAGGGAGAGTTACTGTGCAGCTACAGCACCTAGACTGCAACTCCTCTCCTGGCTACTGCTCAGCCCATAGCCTCCCCTTGCAGACCCACATCTCCAGAAGGAAGCACTGGGACATGCTGAGTGCTGGCTCCAGCCTGGTTTGTTGGACTGCAGTCAGAGAAGGCAAGTTTCAGCACATCCTTCTTTACGGGCAGCCCCAAAAAACTGCCTGCAGGGGGCACGCAACTTCCTAGTGCTTCTTCCTTCTCCGGCAGCAGCTTTGCAAGCTGTCTGTAGATAGAGCTAGGAGGTAGTAATAAGACATATAATATTACTAATATCCTAATCCCAGAAACAATGATGTTTAATGGGATGTGATTAGTTGCCTCTACTTCACTTCCTCTCCTCAACTGTTACACAATTGTGCTGTACGCTCTTACATAGCTGCAGTGTTTTACTGTAGAGAATCTAACAAATGGATGAATCAATTCCTCTGAGCGTGTGTAATGTATTTAGACATTTATTATGTACACATCTATGTGGTTTGTAAAACATTTTAGGATCCCTTGGAATGAAAAGTGTTATCTATTTATAAGGGGTGACTGATATTATTTTACAATCAGACCTAGTTTATTTGAGTTGGATTTAGCTCTCTAAGGCTATGTCTAGACTGCAGGCTTCTTTCGAAAGAGGCTCTTTCGAAAGCATCTTTCGAAAGAGCCTCTTTCGAAAGAGCGCGTCTAGACTACAATGCGCGGATCGAAAGATCGATCCGCTATTTCGAAAAAGAGCATCCAGACTGCTGGACGCTCTTTCGAAATTGAAAGCCACCCGGAACTGCTTCTGCCAGGGCATGGGGGCAGCATTTCCTTCCGGGTGCTGCCTGCCTGCCCTTTGCAGAGACGCGTGGTTAAAGGGACGCCCCTGAACACCCGTTGCTCTGCTCCTGCAGCTGCCTTTGCTGTCCCTCGAGGAATTAAGCAAGGCATTGCAGTGCTGGTTTGGAGTGCTCAGCTTCCTGGGACACCCCAGCAGCTTTTTTCTTTTGAGGTTTTTCTGCTTGCAGACCCTTTTTTTTTTGCATGGACCCAGAGCTGCTCCTGGGCAGGCGATGACCCCACACCACCATACTGCAGCTGTTGCTGCATCTGCATGACACTGTCATGAGGCTACTTCCCGAGCTGCTCCCAGACCAGAGGTACGAGGGGTTCCTCCGTCAAGCAGCCGCATTGCCCTTGCCTCCTAACTTTTTCGTGGACAGGCGTGTTTGGAGGTTTGACACCAGCTCTGACTGGTGCGACTGGCTCCTGATGGAGATCTGGGATGACCAAGACTGGCTACGGCACTTCAGGATGAGAAAGACCACTTTCCAGGAGCTCTGTACCTGGCTTGCCCCTGCTCTGCAATGGCAAGACACCCACCTGTGGCCCGCCATCCCCCTGGAAAAGAGGATCGCCATTGCCCCCTGGAAGCTGGCAACCCCCGACAGCTACCGCTCCGTGGGACACCAATTTGGCGTGGGGAGATCTACTGTCGGGGCCGTCTTGATGGAGGTAAGTCATTGTCTGGGGACAGTCACAGTTTGGGGTGGGGGGAAGGGAGACTGTCAGGAAGGGCCAAGTGGAGTGGGAGTGGGAGGGAGCTCCTCCACTCACCCTGAATTGTGGGGGGGGGGGGGTTCTGAGGAGGGAATTCCCGGGGTGTTTGAGAGGGAAGGTGGGCGGTGGGTTCTCCTCCTAAGAGATAAGGCACCCCTTCTAACATTTTGTTGTCTGTCTCGTTCTGCAGGTGGTGAGGGCCATCAATTCGGAGCTGCTCAACAGGCTCATCTGTCTACCAGATCTGGACAGCGTCATGGCCGGCTTTGCTGCCCTCGGCTTCCCCAATTGCGGAGGAGCGCTCGATGGGACACACATTGCAATCCGTGCACTGCCCCATCGAGCAGCCCAATTCATAAACAGAAAGGGCTACTTTTCTATGGTCCTCCAGGCCCTGGTCGACCATCGTGGCCAGTTTTCGGACATTTGTGTTGGGTGGTCAGGGCAGGCACACGATGCCCGCATCTTCAGAAACTCGTACCTCTACCGGAGGCTTCAAGCAGGAACATTTTTCCCCCATCGCCAGTTTGCGGTTGGGGATGTGCACATGCCGGTGTGCATAGTGGCTGATGCCGCCTATCCCCTGATGCCGTGGCTGATGAAGCCCTACACCGGCCACCTGGATGCGAGCAAGGAGCAGTTTAATGCTCGCCTTAACCGGGCTCGCAACTAGGTGGAATGTGCGTTTGGCCGTTTAAAGGGCAGATTCCGGTGCTTGCTCACACGCCTCGACATGGGGGAGAGCAACATCCCCGAGGTGGTGGCTGCGTGTTGCGTCCTCCCTTACCTCGTGGAGAGGAAAGGGGATGCCTTCCTACCAGGGTGGGGTAGAGCTGCTGATGCCCAGGAGAGGCTCTTTGCCCAGCCCCGGACAGCTGCCATCCGCCAGGCTCACTGGTCTGCTGTTGGCATCCGGGAGGCCCTCCGGGAGCAATTCTCCAGTGGAGGCCACTGAGACTGATTAGGGGCTTCTGCCTGGGGACTGGGCCCTGGCCCAATAGAAGCTTCCCTCCACAACCCATCTCCTGACCCAGTTTGGACACATCACTTACACCAGGGTGTGTTTCAAAATAAAATGTTCTCTTTACTTATTTATAATTTTGTACATATAATCAAACAATGTGGCAAAATAACAAAAATTTTCTTCATTTTTGTTGTTGCCAAACTATATACAATAAACAAACAGT